TCAAAATATGGCAAAAATTGCAAAAACAATGGGAGCTGCTGGATGTTCATGGTCTATTCCCAATCAGGAACTAGCCAATAAATCTCATATTTATGATACAGACAACATACAAACTTGGTCTGCTGCAGAATGGAAGGAAGAAGTTGTTGCACTATGGCAAGCTGTGCTTGATGCATGAAGTCAAACACACAACCCAGATGTATATGGACCTGATAAGAGATATGTTGATCAAGTAGAGATTGTCAGCTGCAATCATCTGACTAAATCAAAACATCTTGTTACAGATGCATGTGTTCTAGAGGATGTTACTCAACTGTTTTGCTTGAATGCTGAACAGGATAGAGCATTTCGTATTGTTGCCCAGCATTCATTATGTCCCATATCAGAACAGCTTATGATGTATATCGGAGGCATGGGAGGAACTGGAAAATCCCAAGTATTGAAAGCACTTACTGTTTTTTTTGAAAGATGCCAGGAAAGTGGTAGATTGATACATGTTGCTCCAACTGGAACAGCAGCCTCTATTATAAAAGGCTCCACTTATCACTTTACATTTGGAATCAATGAATTTACTGGTAGTGAATTGTCAAAGAAAAGCATGGGAGAAGTTAAAGCACACTTGAAAGGAGTTGACTATGTATTTTTTGATGAAGTATCTATGATATCCTGTTCAGATTTATTTAAAATAAGCAGTCGACTTGCAACATGTTTGAACTGTGCAGATCGATGATATGCATGGAACGTATCCACCCATAGATTTCGTGATTTGTATCATATATACTTATCCAATCTATACTGTACTTGAATGATAGAGGGCTAGGATTGAGCCTCCGAATCACTAGCTAAAAGCTATAGCATTGCACAATGAAATATGCTATGTGGCATTGGGACTTAGGAACGATATCACTACGAGTCTGACCTACCAGCCTGATATCTAAACCACTAGCGGGCAAATATATGCCCTAACCATGTCACCGACAAATGCTAGCTACCAAAATAGGAGTTGACATAATAAAAGAACTGTGACTAGCGATGATAGCAAGCAGAGCCGATATTGAGTACAGAAGCGCCAGCTATATCAGTATCGTTTAGAAAGAGATATGACCCTGCAGAATCGTAAGGTCTGCATCATTGATGAGAATATTCTATCTGTCGATCGATCTCACAGGAATATCCGATTCAATCGTGTTGCATCAGATAGTTCGATTCCAAATGGTTCAATAGTTGCCCCTTAATCGTGAATAGTCCTGAAACTAGGCATCATGGAGTTGCTATGTGGACTGTATGACTGAATATCCTGCAGATATGCTGCAAAGCGGGTAACTAGCGATATCAAGCTAGAACTCCGGAAATGAACCAATAGACCAGGTTGCCTAGCATGGCGATAGACTAGTCCGACCTAAATTTCACTGGTAGTAGTTCTTATACTGTATGACTAAATATCCGAGATAGCGCAGACTGGTAGTAGTATATAAGTAATGTACACATGAATATATGGGAGGCTTCGCCACCCCACAGTTTGACCCTATAGCGCAGAAGCTAAGGTTGAATTAAGAGGTATTAAGTCGAGTCTCGGGCCACTAGCGTATCGCTAAGTCCACCAAAGAATAGAAAGCATAGATTTGATTGAAGTAACTTCGCGAGTCGCAGAAGACCGCTGAATATTTGGAAAGAAACTCGAAACGAAGGCACAGTAGCCATATATAAGCCAGTGAGCTAGAGATAGCGGCCAGTGAGCCATATATCAGACAGTGAGCTGGAATAGCAAGGCAAAGAGCCATCTAGTTTCAAGTTTTGAAGTTTGTTCAGTATTCTCTGAGGCCAAGTTTCGCTTCAGAACAAATATATTTGCTGAAGTACACTATTACACAGCCCACACCTTGTATATCTGCTTGGTTGGAATCCGATTGACTTGGATATTCCACCTGTATTTGGCTATTTAGCTGAATATTCGTTGATAAGTTAGACTATTCAGTTTGCAGGGATCTTCTATCAATCTCGAAATGCCCGAACTCATATATTTTGGTGATTGTGAGCACAAGGATTGCTTAGGGGTTAGTATATACGAGTTACACTTCGTATATATTAGTTTCTAGCTATAGCCTGATGGTTACCGAGCACATCATCGACCCTTTGGTGGCATGAATGTGATTTTTGCTGGTGATTTTGCTCAGTTGCCTCCTGTCATGGGTGGTGAATATTCTGCCTTATACTCTCCTGCAAGTGGTTTGTTTGCATCAAGCAAAAAGAGTCAGGATTCTGCTCTTGGAAAAGCAATATGGCATCAAGTGACTACAGTTGTTATTCTTCATGAGAATATGCATCAAAAATCTCAATCTGAAGAGGATACAAAGCTGAGATCTGCTCTATCAAATATGAGATACAAATCATGTACAAACAGTGATATTAAATTTCTAGCAAGTCGTGTGTGTAATGTATGAAAAACTGCACCTAACATTAACAGTAAAAACTTTAGAGGTTCATCCATTATCACTGGTCTTAATGTCCAAAAGGATGAAATCAATAGATTGGGAACCATCTGATTTGCTCAAGAAACAAACCAAGAGTTGATCCATTTTTTTTCAAATGACTCTATTTCAGAAAATGTCACATTGAAGCAAGTTAAAAAGGGAAAATCCAGTAAAATAACTATACTTTCGCCTCAAATACAGATTGAGATGTGGAATTCACCACCAAGTGGTAATAATAAACATGTACCAGCAAAATTGTCCATATGTAAAGGGCTTCCTATCATGATTCATTTGAACACTGCTACAGAACTTGGCATTACTAAGGGTCAGGAAGCTGTTGTACATTCATGGGTAGATGGAACAGGCACAAGGGGACAAAAAGTATTGCATATACTGTTTGTGAAAATACTAGCTCCTCCAGACCCTATCCATCTGCCTGGACTTCCTGAAAATGTGGTCCTTCTTACAAGAACATCTGTTCCAGTTACTTGCACACTAAAAGATGACTCAAAAATAAATATTACTTGATTGCAAGTAGAGGTGATTCCTAATTTTGCAATGACAGACTATTGTTCTCAAGGTAAGACAAGGCCATGGAATCCAGTAGATTTAAATAACTGTAGATCACATCAATCATATTATACAGCTTTATCAAGAAGTGCATCAGCAGAAGGAACTTTGATTTTGCCAGATTATACTGACCGTAATATGAAGGCTTTTGATACTAAAAAGATTCAAGGCATGTGTTCAGGTCACTTAAGACAAGAATTCAGAGAATTAGAAGTATTGGACTATATAACATGTCTACAATATAACAATCAGTTGCCAGATGGTATCCATGGAGACTGTCGATATACTTTGATCGACTCTTTCCAATCTGTGTTTGGAAAATATTTTGTTCCTAAAGATGTAGATCGGAATATCCGATGGTCAAAGTCTGATCCATTGAATGTTAAAGACCAGACTATTATAGAATGGAACATATCTGGATATGATCATAGGCCTCTACCTAAGGTGGTTAAATCTGCTGAGGTTCACTCCACTGATACACAGTCTATATTGAAACAAAATGTACCTATGTTACCAAGCAGTATCACAAATAAAGGCATCTGCCAGTTTACACCTATGAAGAAAGCTACAAAGAGGAAAAGCAGACCATCTGACCCTATTGAAGTTCCATATACTAGTAAAGCACACATACAGGACATTATCAAAATGCAAGCCACACCTCAAAGTAGTAGTAATACAGAATTACCATCAATACCAGGACAGATTTTACCCAAGGGATGTAAATGGTATAACAATAGCTGTGCATATGATGCTGTCTTGTTTATTTTATTCAATACATGGAATTCAAATCCGGATGAATATTCTGTTCTGTTTACACAAATGAATGAAGAATGGCTGGGTTTACTTGTGGGTTCATTTAAAAAGCATGTTGCAAATGAATACACATTGGAGGAAGTAAGAGATTTTTTCCATTGGAGATTATGTACCACTTATTCGAATGTGTTTGTATTTGGACAGAACACAAGCATAGAAGCAATTGTGAGCAAAGTATTCAAAAGCTCAACTGTATTTAATAAAACAACAATAGAATGTTCTAATCTACACAGGATAAGTGCAATTGAATACTTTGATTGTTCTATTATACCTTCTCCCAGTGAACAGGCTTCAAAACAGCAAACTATACAACAATACTTAGACATACACTCAAATAAGATGCTAAAACAGAGGTGTACATATTGCTATGCACCTGTTCACAAAAATGACTTATTTGAATCTGCCCCACCTCTGTTGGCTGCACTGGTATCATCTACTGATACACCTGCAGACCCCCACATTGAACTTCAGATACATGGTATGAAAATGAGATATAATCTACAAGGCATAATATATTTTGGACATACACACTTCACTGTACAATATATAGACAGTAATCACAATGTATGGTTTCATGATGGATTGGCACTTGGATGCAATGCAAAGTATGAAGGCACTATCAATGAAATAAATTTAGCTGATGGGCCTGATGCACAGGTCACTGAATTGTACATATACACTATTCAAATGTAGATGGAGACAGGCAGGCATACATGGTCAGTATATATATATATATATATGTATATACTAATATGACACAAGACTAAGTCAGAATACTGTATGCAGACCTGTACATATATATAATTACAAGGTAGGTATCAAAAATATGTAGACCATAGGACTCAGATAATGCCACACAGATGTGATGGCCCTCAACCACTAGTTATTCCATCTGTTGTCATTGTCGATTCATACTTACTTTGCCATTACTGTGCTACACTGGACTCACTGTTGGATGGCTGGATACCTAGAATCCCTCTCGTGTTTGGGTTTTATCTCATGGCGTGATGGCCCAGTTGGGGCACACACACAGAGCTCGTTCGAATCGGACTCCTGCCATTTGCATCTAAAAGTTGAAGCCATTTTGTTGCTTCTTCTACTGCCCTCTGACATATTCATGAAATGAAATACCACGGTGTTCGAAATTTCCTCTTAGACCAGTTGGTAGAGCACATCACTAGTACTGAGGTGTTCCTAGCTGATGACGAGGTTAGTCGTTCAAGTCGGCTAGAGGGAATTTAGATAATGCTACTGTATGCTTTTTGTCAGTTTTAGGCTTTAGAAAGCATCAATGTTCGTTGTTCATTGTTGAACTTGAGGTTCAAACTCTGGAGTTTGCTTACTTTATCTACCGCCTTGTCTTCAGGTAGCAATGAGATGCAGGGTATGTGGACCCACCCTCTTAGGTATCACTCTAACACGTGTGTCCTCATTCCTATGTCCAAGGAACAAACAACTTTCACCGTTGATACGATAGATCTTTATTGATGCCATGCTCTTCAAGCTTCAAGCTTCGAGTGTCAGAGTCGGCCTTGTAAAATCATCGCATCTCTCCCTGATTATATCGGAGAGGGCATCACTGTGAATGAATGGGATTCCCCTTTGGGTCGAGATCCTGGACTTGTCCAAAGGCTTTTATTTTATCATTCCGAATCCGGATGGTACTGATACGACCGTGTTTGGATCACATGGTCGCAAAATGATCCGTGGGAAAGGAAGTACTCCGAGTCTTCTGCACCGATTTCAGTGGTCCCAAGTTGCAATCTACCTTGCCCGCCTCTCGTGTACTTCTTCTATCCTCGACTGTCATGGTGCGAGTGATTTGTCTATAGACAAGTACTCTTTTCGTCTCGCTAGAATGCCCCTGGGGCTCGCTTGGGGCTCTCCACCTACACGTCGTCCGTGTCGCCGGCTGTGGCCACCGCCTCCTATATCGGAGGCGTCTGGATTGTCGCTACTACATTACTCTCCGGAGTCCGTTCAATGCCCTCTCTGTGCTACCACCGCTCTCGAGCTCGCACCAGCCTCACGAAGGATTCGACGCACTGAGAGTTGCGGAGATTGCTTAGCAAGAGCCAAATGCGGTGCGATAGGTTGGCATGGACGTGCGTTCATCGTTTTCTTTGTGCTTCGTCTTGCGATGCTTAGATTTTCTCACCAGGTCTACGCGATGAACGATGTCCTTTCTGCTGAGCGAATCAATCAATCCTTTCTAGAGACTGCATTGATCTGCTGGAACGCGCTATAATCCGAACTGCCGATAGATTGTTAGTGGAACGTTCTGCCAATTCCGTATCCATATCTACTGGTACCTAATACGCTGTTGAAAACCGGATGCACCCTTGTTTAGTCTCAGTTGATGCATACACTCGACCGGCCTATATTATTCAACTTCAGCATCTCGAAACCTGGGGCCTGTCCTTCTCTTAGCGCCAGAATCATGGTCAAGATTGATTGACGTCTTTTGTGATATACATACAGTGCGCTATTCAATTTGTCTTTTAGTCGGTTTTGGTTGTAAAGTCCTCTGAACAGAAAGTTCGTGCATAAGACTGGACACGATACAAAGCGCTGTGGAGCGGCATGTGAAGTCGTCCATCCCATCTCTGGTGAATGGAGCTGACATATCCACAAACTGATTGACATGGGAAGAAGGAAGATTTCTATCGCAATCTAGTACAACCCAGGGCATGATTTCCGGGTATTGAACACCCTAGATCCGTCGTTCATCTAAATACCATCCGCAACTGCAAGCTACTTCCAGGCCCAGGAACCGAACACGGTACGACAGTTCATGTAGGTGCGTTCCTCGTTCCTTTTACGTTAGGTCCTCAAGCGATCAAGCGATCCTTATTTCAGCTGAGACCCTTCATGTCTATACATGCCGTGACCCTGACCCTGCTTCTGAGGCCAACTATTCGTGAATGTTGAATCATACCTTTTCTGGCGAGCGAACCCGCCTCTCAAGAGACATTCATGGATTCATCACGCGTGACTGCCGATAGTTTGCGGGTAGAACGTCTTGCCGTTGCCATATCTAGGTCTACAGGTACCCTATGCGTCATCGGAGACCGGGAGCGTCCTTCCAAACCATGACGTTTGGCATTCATTGAATGCATGAACTCGACCTGCCTGTATGCGTCAGGGCACCTCTTAACGTTTTGCCTGCCCTTTCCTTACTGCCCGAACCACCGTCCAGATTGATCGGCGTTTTTCATCATCTATCCATCGCGCTCTTCAATTTTTCTTTCAGTTGGGCTTCATGCTAAAGTCGTCTCTACAGACTTTCCTCGGTATGCGCATAAAACTGGACACCATACAAATACAATGTGCTGTGAAGCGGCGTACGGACCAAGGTTCGTCTATCCCATCTCATTCGAAGGGAGATGACCTATCCATAGAATGATCTACCTGTCTGACGGCCTTTTCATGCATCATGGGAGCAACTAAGATTTCTATCGCAGTCTAGGCGTACTTTACCTAATCCCTGAACCTGATTTCACGGTATTTAAGAGCCCTCGATGTGCTGTTCATCTAACAACTCGTAACCCTCGCTGTCGCTTGTGAGATCTGTGCTGTCCCACCCCTGATTGTAGGTGCTGACTCCCAAACGTTGTAGTAGTCGTCTCGGCGACGCCGATAGCTGATTGGCCTACTGGAGGTACGCCGCCACCGATGGCAGACGATGTGGCCTTCTGGAGTTATGTTAACTATTCAAGTATATTGATGCGTACTCATACCATCTTAGACTTTTCCCAGCGCGCACCTGATTGGCAATGGAACACTCATATAGGTACGGCAGCTAGGAACACAGTGGAATTGCAACTTATCACCTTGCATGGCACTTTGAGGCGAAGAGCGGCCGACGGCAATTCAACCAGATGGAAGCTCAGCCGGATTGTGGCGTGGGACGGCGATGGCTGTTCATTGCGATGTCCCCCAACATAAGCAACTCGGTGTGCTGTATGATGTGCTGTTATCCACCTGTTGAATATTGGTATATAGATGTCAACCTTACCTTTCCCACTATACATAATGCCTGAACAGCACGCTCATGTTCTATACACCAAGCTACTGCTTTCTCAAGGTCATGGTTACCCTCTGTGGATTCCAGAGCCAGATTATAGCCTCCCCTCGGCCTTTTTTGAGAAGGGCATCTGCGTGGGTGATGTTGGGATTATCAGAAACGACGGAGGATTCGACTTCATTTTCAACGTGTTTCTCGAAGCTGACCATCCTGTTAATTCAGGCGGAGTCCCTCCTGGTTTCTCACCCCTACTGACGGAGTCAGATTCCTCTCCCACTCGCATTATACTTTTCCAACATTCAAGAAACGCATCTGTTACAAGCTCTGACGTCTCTATCAATTCAGTGGCTCTGGGCGCGTCGGCCGAAGTACCGTGCGTTCCTAAGCATCTGTCATTTGGATATAATACTCATCTTAGTTTGGTTTAATTGCAGGCGGGGGTGCCCAATTCGAATTTTCAACATCTAAAGACGAAGCAGCAATCCTAGTGCTCCCTCAGGGCGCTACACGATTCGACCGTAAAAATCTATCGTCCATGAGGAACTACGCTGTTGAGCATGCACACGAATGGTACAAATACATCAACGGCCCCAATTGCTTCGTCACCGGATGCGACGAGACAATAGTCTGGGGATCGGCTGCAATGTCCAAGCCTTCGGGTATCCACCAATTTTCTATAACGTTCGTTGTGGGAGGTCTCGCAGAAGGTCGGATAGCGTTGAGGTCATCTTGGAGTACGAATCAATGGGCCAACAGTAGGGTTTACCCTCAAGACATCGAAACAGTAGATCCCCCTCCAGCAGAGAATCAAGCTGTATTCATTCGCGGCTTCACCATCTCTGTGAGAGAGAAGAGTTGGGTAAACAGGATGTTACCAGACTGGCTCAGGCAACGAGTATCTGAGCTTTCAGTAAAGTCTGGAAACATGCCAGTTATCGGGACCAAGGTGCCCTACTCCGATCAAGGAGATGATTCGCCTCCGATATCAGCACCAGTATGGGCAAGCAATGGGAGTACAATTTGTGGGTCTATTGTAGGAAACGAACTAGTGAGAATGTTCTCATCAATTATGCTTGCTAATAACGCGAAAATAATTATCTGCAGACGCAGTTGCAGATCAGCATTATTGAAGCCCATATGGTAGCTATTACTGAATGCTTTGCCCTTGTTGCTCATTTTTACTGCAGCAGAGTTCCAATGAATCACATCAACCGGAATATATGTCTGTGAGTTTGACAATCTCGCTGTAACCAGGTTATGATTCATTATGTCCATAGGACAATCCCTTGATGTCTTCTGTTTCATGTGGAGAGATAAATATTCCAGTAGCAGGACAATCGAGCGGCCATGAACATGATGATGTAGTCTTGCATGACTTCCCTGAAAGATCCGTTGAGGTGGGGGTGACCTTTCCAACACATAATGTATTTCTACTGACCGTGACGGACCAGTTGCTCAATCCGTCAGTCAAATTCAACGAATACATCCTTGCTACGGTTGTATTCCTTCCTATGTCTCTTTCGAGCTTACTCATACTCTCCAAAGGTTCCAGAAAGCGATGTTGTAGTCACACATGATAGTGTCTGGATGTCATCAATGCTGGAGGAAAGCCTCGATGACTCTGCCCACCCCGGTATCTCCAACCAAGGTCAGCTTCGTGTCATTCTGCTCGCAATCCCTCTTATCCAATCGACGGTGTCTATCTGTCAGAGGATTTACCACATGTATTGCCAGAAATGAGTGTAGAAGACAGTGTCCCTCCAATGCTCGTTTCCTCCCATATGCTATCTACATCATCTCCACACCAGTCTCCATCAGACGACGGTGACAAGAGCACAATGCCTACCACTGGAAGGCAGAGAACATGTGAGTGAATCGCCTAGAGATCTCGTCGTCCTATCAAACTACAATATCTCACTCCTAGTTTACCGAACTTCTCTGGACAACATCTGCAACCAGGCTGGATGGCATTTGACGTTCGATGATAACTTCTCTGGACCACAGCACAATGGAATATGGACTACTAGTGCCTACGGTATGTATGCCTCGTCGCATATCAAGAGCGTACACTAACACACAGTGATTGTCAAGTTGGTGGTGTCCTGTATGGTCAAGGGAGTGGGAAACTATCCGTACTGCTAGGGAACAGGCATCGCGCCAGACACTCACTTATTTTGGCCATGCTTAAATTGTATCGGTTTCACACTATA